TCCATCAATAATCTGCTATTTTTTAATATGAAAAAGCGTGTAGCTTCACTACGAATGAACCTGTGTATTAAATTACTTCTTTTCTTTTAGTCTTTGTTTGTCATTACCCTCTATGAAAACGCAATATCGCAAAATTTGATGAACCATTCTTTTTATTTCTTTTTCTTATTTTTTAGAATCAATGACAATTTTTTTGACGAAAACCACTATTAATCATTATCAAAAGTATAAATGATTTATTATTTACTTTTTTTTATAAAAAATTTCAGGGGACCCACTTTACCCCAAAAATTTAGAGTCCTTTTAAATTTTAGGGGGGCCTACTTTGCTCCCCGCCCTTCCCCTATGCTTATTAGTGTAGGAAAAAAACTTTGGTATTCTCACAAGAAGAATACAAGTTTCTTTACGGGAGGGAAAAATTTCCTGGGTGGAAAAAAAATTTTTTTTTCAGTGCGGATAATTATCCATTTACATAAATTTTAGAAAATTTTTGGACCAAAACGAAAAAAAAATCTTGAATTATTAAAATTTTTTTTTTTAGATTCAGATGTTATTTTTCTTGTCAAAAATAGTAGTTAAAAAATAAAATGAAGAACTAAAAAAAAACATTCAACAGTAACAATGAAAGTAAATTTTTTTCTAAAATACTAAAAACTTTTAGAATCGTTAAGAAAAATGCAATTGTCAAATTGAATTAAATATACTGAGAATAAATCAAAATTATGGTCAGACGAGGATTTTCTTGACTCAAGAATTTATTAAAATAAACAATTTAATTTATTAATTTTTTGACAAAAGAATATCAATATCTGTTTTTATTATTAAAAGCAAACAAATGAATAATTTCACTTAAATTAAATAATAATTATTGTAATCAATTCGACCAATTATGTAGTCAAGAAATAATTCTTCCGACAAAATAGTAAAATCTCGCAAATTTTTTAAAATATATAATTCTTGATGACCGTATTTTTTTTTATCAATGTAGTTGAAAAAATATATAGTCTTTATGTTTATTTAAAGAACTTTCATATGTGTTCAACGAATTTTTGATAAATATTCGCGTACGAAAGTTTTTTCATAAAGAATCATTAAACGTATGATAGTTTGCACTTTTCGAAAGTTCCGAAATTCTGTTCTTTCTAATTAGTCAGATTATTTTTTAAACTTAGGATACATAAAAGGAAGCAAAAAAAAATTTTTTATATATTCTTAAAATCTCGTCAAACAATACCAAAGTATACCCTGATAAAATAAGATACCAAATTATTTAATTTAATTAATATTTATTAGAAGATCGATCAATATCATTTTAAAAAAATAAAATTTTTTAATGAATAGATAAAGAGTGCAAAACTAAGACCATAAAACTTCGAAAGGTAAACGGTTTTTCCAAAACGTTTTAAAAAATAGAACGTAATTGCTTTAATTATCATCGTCAAGTTATTTTGAAATAAAAACAATAAATTTATATTATCTAAGACGTTCGATAACCTTACTATCAATTACATAAAAAATTTATTAGATTTTAACGAGCATTTGTTATTAAAGTTGAAAAACTAAATCTTATCGTCAGCGTCTTTATTTTTTATCCAAAAAAATAATCAATTGATATATGTTTGATCGTACATCACCCTTTAATTTTCCGCATAATGATTTTTAAAAGATTTAAAATATTTTAATTCCTAATTTTTCAAATCTTTGTGCTGAACAATGTGAAAAAATAATAATGATCAAAATAACACGCATGTACATTCGGTAAGACGAACACCTGTATCTTCTTACTAATATTCTGCTTAATATTGAAGAAATGACCAGTTTATTCTTTTATTAATTACATAAATTATAAGTTGTAAGCAATTAAATCTAATAAAAATTTTCTATTATTTAACAGGATAAATTTTGAATTTTAATAATTTTATTGATCAGTTTCACAAAATACATTTTTGAAAATTACAGAATTAATTATCTATAGAATATATACGAATTATTTCGATTACATGTATTAATAAGGATATTAATACAATTACAATAATAATAGTTGCAAAAAAGTGCGAGAAAAATTTTTCAATTGGAATAAACTCTCTAATGCTTTGCATTAGGTGTGCAAAGATAAAGTTTAAAATTTAAGATACTAATCACTAAAATTTTACCTCAGGAATCCATGGATAAAATTTTCGTGATTAATAATCTTATGAAAGTAATAATTATTTCGACGTCCTAATTAGCAAATTGTTAAACTTTACTTTTTGTAGAAGCTTCTACAAAAAATGAACGTTTTACCTAACAATAAATGAACTTCCATTTAAAGATCGGACAAAAAAAGAAAATTTATTGCTGGCGGGAATTTGGTTTGGAGTGAAGCCACAACCAAATTTGTTTTTAAATAGTTTTCGCAATGATTTACAAAAAATCTATCAGGGTATCTGGTGCAGAACGCCTGACTTAAATTCTCTTTTACGGGTTCGAGGGATGATTATTTGTGGGACTGGTGATTTACCAGCAAAAGCTAGTTTTTTGAACATGAAAGGACACAATGCAATATTTGGTTGTTGTCATTGCACAATCCAAAGTAAATATTTCAACAAAAGGCGTATTTATCCTTTCAAAAAAAAATTGCTTGTTCGAACTACTGAAGAAGCTATTAATAACAGTGAAAAAGCTGTTAAAATGGAAAAATCTGTAAATGGAATCAAAGGTCCTACGGTTTTAAGTCAAATCGTTTATGACGTTTTTAACACAACGGTTGTCGATGTTATGCACTGTGTATATTTAGGGGTTACTAAGAAATTATTTAGTCTATGGTTTGACTGTTGTTACAGTAACAATGTCTTCTCTCTGTATGAACATTTGAGTACAGTAGATGATAACATTCGATCTATTTCTCCCCCCGGATTTGTATCTCGATTAACGCGATCAGTTTATGATTATAAATATTGGAAAGCATCAGAGTGGAAACAATGGCTGTTATACTATTCAATCCCAATTTTGAATTCAATTATGCCAGAAAAATATTTAGAACATCATAAGCTTTTAGTGACCGCTATCAGCTATTTAAGCTACACATCTATAAGCCAAAAAATGATATCTGTTTCGTTAACTTCGATCAAAATTTATATTTCTCAGTTTAAAGATTTGTACGGTCTAACTCATATGACTTGTAATTTGCACTGCTTATATCATCTTCCGGATGCTGTTAGTAAATTTGGTCCATTACCTGTCACATCTTGTTTTGCATATGAAAATTTGAATGGATCATTTGGGCGTTTAGTGCAAGGCACTCGCTATGCACAACTACAAATCTGTTCAGCGTTGTCAGTTTTTAATAATTTGATAGACTTAAAGTCAGAAGCAATTCAAGAAAATAATAACGTCAAAGAATTTTGTAAAAAATTAGAATTATTTCATTTGAGAAAACGAAAGCTTATACATCTTTCAGAAAAATGTTCTATTATAGGAACAATAGTTAAGTGCAATATTTCAGACCCATTGCGAACCATTTTTGAAAATAGTAATATTGACCTTTCAGCTCCTAAAAATATTTATAGATTCAAACGCTTATTTAAAAATAATTTAGTTTATGATTCTAAACTTTACGAACGTGAAAAAAAAACCAATTCATCTATTATTGTTTATAATCATGATAATAGGCATAGTATTGGCATAATCGATGAATTTATTAAAGTTTGTTCTTGCGAAAATGTTCCATGTAATGTTCATTGTAATAATAGTAATTTTTTCGCAATTATCAGCAAATGTTCTCGAGTGAAATCTATTATTTCTAACACTTTAATTGATATTATTAATTTGTGTACGCATTCTGGAGGACTTCAACTAGCTATAGACATAAATAATTTGATAACTGTTTGTTTTTTTGTTAAGAATTTTGATGAAACTCAGCCTGATACTTTTTTTGTCATGAGACCGATTAATTTAACTGAAATAGACTGAGATAAGATGTGAAGAGCACAGTATTATTAAAGAGAGTGTAAAAATTACTATTGTAAATTTTGTAACTTAAATAACTATAAAACTTGGCTTAAATTTAATTAACTTCATTGTGATAAAATGTTAATAAAGACACTAACTCAAAATGATTTTAAATACTTACTTTATTCTTAAGAGTGAACTATAACCTTAAACTAATTTTTATAAACTTGTTTTATTTAAATGTATTTTCAAATAAAGAATAAATTTATTATCGATTGATTTATAGTAATTGAAGAATTGAGTCAATATGAATCGATTATGAATTTTAATTATTTATAAAATCATTCATACCATTGTAAGTGGACTAAATCTAAATTTCAAGTAAGTAGTCATTTTCTGATGATTATTGAATCTAATTGATATTTAAAAGAAAGTAAAGATGAACCTGTAAATTAACCCTGTCTCAGCAACGGTAAACAAACTTATTATAATGTTATTTCATTTTTTTTATGAATTTATTATGAATCCATATTAATATTATGAAAACGTAGAATTTGTAATAATAATTACTCGTGTGACATTGGAGTGAAATTAAAATTCAGTCACTGCAGTATCTAAATTAAATTACATCTTGATGTAAATTCTTTCATTTTTACATCTAATCCATTATTAATTCATATTGGAATTTCAAAATTATAATCATACTGTTTTTCCTTCGAACTATTTTACGCTATTCTTAAGTTGAACTGATTTTGAAACAAATTCAGATTTGTGTCTAATTATAAATTTCATTATGAAAATCGAAATTAAAGTGATAATGAATCATAAATTTTTTTGCACGGGAGGTGATTGTTTGAAATCTTTAGATAGCATTAATTTGAATACTTATTTTTTGGGTAACCTTACAAAAATTACATAAATAGTAGATGTGAAGTTAATTTCGAAGCAAAAATAATTTTTTTTTTTTTTTTTTTACGTAAATAGAAGATTTTGCGAATTAAAGTTAGACAATTTGCTAATTAGGACGTTGACTATTGTTACTAGGGATACAGATTCATTATTGGTTAAATTTAAAGCGAAGCATCCCTATTTAATGCATAGGAATAACGATTGTGATGGTAAGAATCGGGGGACTGGGAATTCGGGTAACCTTCTTGACTAACTCTCGCAAGAGCATCGTCCAAATTCCAATCGTAGACGAAACTCTGAAGAGTGCCACTGTTATCAATGTAAAAGAACAAGTGTCCAAATCCTGGTTGGTCGATGGTCTGAGCGTTATGAATTGCTGCGACTTCATGATTTGCCAATCGTTGCAATTGATGGTTAGATAGAATGTACGAGAAACCGTTGAGGCCAATGATTCGATACTGACTTGTCGCCTGTAACTGACCAGATCTTAACTTCTGGTTCAAGTTAAGCAAATCTTGGGATGACATTATCGTAAATGAGCCATCTTTGTTGACTAATTGCATATGAGGTAAGTATATACGTTTGAAGGATCCATCAAATTGGATTCTGCCGTCATTTTGTACTGAAGCAACCTATTCATCAATGATGAATAAATTCAATTAGTGTTAACAAAAAGATTTTTTTAAGTCAATTAAAATTATCTTTGATAACATATTTTAAGATTTTATTTATAAAATTATTTATAAACATTAATTTTATGAATCTAAGCGAGGAATAATTATTCAGAGATAAGAATTTCTTTTGTATCTACAACTTAAATATTTATTATTGTAATAAGTGTGTGTTTTTGTGCACACGTGCGGAAGCTTCTCGTAACTGTTGAACAGCGTGACAAATCAAAACACAATTTGCGACATTTTTAAGGATTCTATACTGCCCGTTAAATTTTTTTAAATCACAAGTATAAAATGAAAAATTAAAATTTTTTTTTGAACGATTTTCAAACCCTTTCACGCAGAAAAAAATTTTGTTAAGATAACCTAAGATATGTTATGATAACAAATGAATTTGTTAACATAGGGATAACAAATTATATGTTAAAATAACAAAATTTAGGTTATAACAAGTTATTGATATGTTATAACAACGAAAAAGTTTTGTTACTACTGAAAAATCTTTAAGTTGATTCGACAAAATACTTTAGTTGGTAGAACATTTTTTTTTGTTGAAATAGCAAAATTATTCTATTAAAATAACAAAGAGGATTTGTTAGCGTAACAAAGACAATTTGTTGAAGTAATAGAGATAATTTGTAATAATAACGATGAGAATTTGCTGCAATAACAAATAAATTTGTTACAGTAAATTTTATAAGAATACATTTAAAAATACGCTATAATCAGCTATATAGCTGATTTGGAAAATATTTTGGCAATAAATTAGTTTTGTTATTGCCACAAAAATCACTTTGTAACAGATACCAAATTATTTTGTTGCAACACCAAAGCCATTTTGTGATAGCAACAAATTGATTTTGTGATTTAACAAACTGGGTTGTTAGTACAACTTGAAACAGTTTGTTAATGCACCTAATGGATTTGTTGCTCCGACTACACTCATTTGTTATCACAACATATTTTTCAGTTATCCCGTCTTTTGTTATTTCAACAAAATTGTTTTATGCGTGTTCGGTAATTGATTTCACAATCTAATCAGTTGAATTTCCTAGAAATTATTTTTAAAAAAATCTATCAACTCATTCGATAAATATTGCAATGGCAATCTTAAAATACTAAATTTTATTTTCATTTGTCAAATTTTTGAGTTTGATCCAGTCAAAAATGTTGATAAATATTTTTTTGCTCAACGTCCTAAATATTTGAAAATTTATTTATTAACTATTTATTGAGTTTTATTGACTTTTTATTAAGTTTTCATGAATTTTTCACATTAATAGAAATTTAGATTTTAAATTATAATAATCAGGTTGATCAGATCACAAACGCAATAATGACAATTAATCCCGACTACTTCAGGCAATCTACAAAAATACATACATCAAATAAATAAATTATACTCCAATATAACATGTCGAATATACAAATTGTCAAATAAGTCATTAAACATGTTATATTAGAGTATAATTTATTTATTTGATGTATGTATTTTTGTAGATTGCCTGAAGAAGTCGGAATGTCCGACGAAACGTAGCAATAAAGTGAATTAATTGTCAACAATTAAACAATTATTGATAAGATTTTAAAATTAATCAGTCAAGCTATTCTAAAGACATTCAGAAAACTAAAGAATAATTATTTTTTTAAAAAATCTTCCAAAATTTTCGACTAATTGACTAAAAAAACTGCATCAGATGCCTTCAAGCAAATTAAAATTTAATGATCAGTCAAGAAGATATTGTAGTTTGAAAATTAACGTTCTAAGCTCGAAAAAAGCGAAAAGTATTAAAAATGTCCTCCTGGATCAAGTTATTGATTCGAAGTTATTTTTTTTATTATTCAAGCACAAACATAGTGGAAGTACCAGGGATGTCCAGGAAGATCAACTGTTATCCAGAATATTTTTCTGACTTAATAACCAAAACTATCTACTGTATGCTCAGTAAAACCACGAGAAAATAATTAATAGAGAAAAAAAAAAATAATAGATTATTTTAATTTTTATACCTGATATATGGCAAGCATAAAGCAAACTGCAAATGTTGGCACAAACATAATGACTATGATTTATTTTCAAAATCAAAAGATTTAATCACCTTGCTGTATGAAATCAGACTAATCTCTCTAGAGCAGTCCATTTTGTTTTTATGATTGCCTGACAAGTAAGGATATTGTTATTGAATAATTAAAACGTCGACTTACCGTCATGAGTCAATAAATTCAGGCCAGGAACAAAAGACGTTTATCTGTTTAAAAATTGTATGAAATAAAAACATTTCTTAAGAAAAATTTAAACTTAACTTAAGCCAGACGAATAATGTTTCTATACAATATACAAACGAAAAAAAAAATTTTTTAAAGTTAACCCTGCAGGCCAATCCTGAAATTTTCTGCTTTTTTCGAGCACAAGATGCTGTTGTTTTTGAGATTGTCGAGTTCCAAAATAAAATTTTTTTCCGTGTACAATTTTTTCAATTTACTATTCATAGCCACTAGACATACACTACCGACCGAAAGTTTCTGGACAACCTTCTTGTTTACTTTTTAATTTATATATGACACAAAAACACATTAACTTGATCTATGAAGAAAATGCTATGTTATTTTACAAAGTGTGTACGATCGTGACTTTGACATTCTTCTTGATTTATTTTACTTTTAATAATTGTTTTAATAAATTTTCATATTGTCCGGAAACTTTCTGTCGGCAGTGTATAGTGCTTCGCGCACCCTCACTCTTTCTAAAATCCTACCATTATCTCAGCCGACCAATTACCAAACAAATAAAAAGTTTATACAAGTAACGTAAAACAACAAAACATCTGCAAGTCAAATTTTTAAAAAACGATAACTTTTCATGCATATAAAGATAATTTTTTCGATCAAATTTTTCTACTTAAAACTCAACAAAATGCATAGGGAAGAAGGGGGTCAATTAAACCACGGGGCAATTGAACCACTCGATTTAAGAAATTGAAAAAACGATTCATGCTCTTGGAATTAGATTCTAATATGTTAAACTCGGATATGATCAAAATTTGAAATCATTGCGATTAATAAATTTTGAAAAATTGAGATTTTCTTATTTTTAGACATGTAAACTTTTTTTTTCGGCTGGTGACAAATTGTTTAATAATATTTCAATTTTTGAATTAATTGGTCAAGTTTGAATTGTAGTAGTTGTATACACTTATACTTTATAATCCTCAACTTTGTTAATAGTGATATAATAGTTTATTTATTTATCATTTGCTATTAATTGTTTTAATAGTATATTACACTACAAGGGCAGAAAGTTGAGATTCCTGCACTGCGCGCCATGTGCCCGAGGCGAAGCCGAGGGCATCATGGCACGCAGTTCAGGGCTCTCAAATTTCTGCCTATGTAGTGTATACTATTTTTCTTGCTATGCGGTCGAAAGTACGTTAAAAATTGCGTTGAAAAAAATTGATGCCTGCCCCCATTTGCGGCACGAGCGAAGCGAGTGCTGCTGGTCGGGGGGGGGGGGCAGGCATCAAATACACCTGTCAATAAAGATATTAATATATAACAAAACAGATACATTCATAACAATCACAAGTAAGGTTAGGCTTGTATACATAAGTAATAGAGTGAGCGCGACTACCGACTTTCGGACTTTCTGCCGCCTCGTGACTCGTTGTCAGTGCATGAATACATTTTTTCGGCTCCCCGTCGTAGAGCGAATGCGCGACTCGACCACGGCATAAATGTGAGGCTTTCTGCAGTGAAATCGCAGCGGGAACCCGTACTTTCGACCAGCGTAGTAAGAAAAATTATATGGGGGTCAATTAAACCAGCAGTCCCGGGGACGATTGAACCATACGGAGAAGCATGGGACATGCGCGCGCATCTTGACTCTACGTGAAAAATACTCAGAAAAATAACCTAACAATTCGATGAACTGAATTTATAATGAAAATTATTTTTAAATTGATTTTTAATTTATTTAACATAATAGCTGTGCATAAAAAATGTACAAGAGTAATATTAGCAAGTAACAATTAATATATTATTTATTAAAAGTTCGGATTTGAGTTTTAAATATTATTGGTTCAGTTGACCCTAAGCAGTGGTTTAATTGCCCCTGAGCGGGGGTCAATTGAACCATTCGACGCGTTTGGATAAATTAATAATTTTTAAAAATTCACGTTGTTTATTGACTAATTTATGTATTGATAATGATAGTAGACTTAATAAACTACCATTCCAAGAAAAAAAAATTATTATTTAGTTTTAATTCATACAATAAAAAATTACTAAACTTTTTTTGGTTCAATTGACCCCCTTCTCCCCTACTTGTCTAATTTTCATTGAAAATTATAAGATATAAATTCGTCGTAAACTATATTATTTTATCTTTCAAAAAGCGTGGAAAATAATAAATTAATAATAAAAAATTATCACGATGATTTTAAGCATTTATTGTGAAATTTAAAAATATAATAAAATTTTGACGTTAATCAAGAATTTAAGATAGGTGTCTAATCTAGAATTTATAGAAATCGAAAAAATTTTCTTTCATACTTCAATATCTTATAGTATCGAGAATCACCTCCTGAAATTTGGTGAGAAAATTCACAATTGAAAAAAAAATACAGTATTGCGTGTAGGGGCAAGTCATCAGCTGCAGAGGGGAAAAAAAAACTTTATAGATAGCCACCACTTTTTTGTAAACGATTTTTGACAAAAGGTGGTAAATTACCACATGACAAACTTTCCTCTTTAACATGTCGTTCTTAATTATTGTTTCAAATTTGCCAATCCAGAGATACTTTGTTCGTCATGGGAACACTTTTTTTTTAAGGAGTTGGCGCCCACTAAAAAATGGACAAAGAACGCTTTAAATAACAGTTTAGAAAAACAAAATACACTGAAAAAATAAAAAAAAATTTTTTTTTGTCCTGAAAAAAATTTCTTGGCTCAAGAATCGCTTAAAATAAATTTTGGTTCTTTGACAAAAGAATATCAATATCTATCATGATAATAAAATATTGGCATTAATTTTGATAGATGAACAAACGAATAGGTTCACTTGAATTAAACGAAAAAAAAAATTCGATTAATTCGATCATTTCTTGAGACAAAAAAATATATTCTTGAAAATTATCAAGAATATATATTCTTGTGACAAGAAAATTTTCTCAAGAGTAGTACTTTTTTTTCTCAGTGTATTAGTCCCCCGTGTAAAAATTATGATATCATTATGAGGCTCATAATGAATATCATAATGAATCTCATATTTTGGCACTAATATGAGATTCATATGAAAGCCATATCAATACATTTGAAATCTGTATTTAGTAAAATACTTATGGAAACGAATTTTTTTTTAACTAGATTATAAAATTTTTATTTTTCTCATTGGAGAAAGCAAATTTCTAGTAATTTAAAATTATTATTAAATGTTAAATATAAAATTTGATCCACACGGATCAGTCTCATGGAGATTCGTGACAAATCTATAGTGACAAACGCATAATTTCATACTGAAGTCATAATAGTAACTGCGTAAACTTATGATGGAATCAGTCTGATATTTTTTTAAATTCATCATAATATTGTAATGATATTGTTGCCTTCTATTTATAATTCAAGAAAAAAATTTTTTCTAACTGTTGGAAATTCATTAAGACAGTATCTCCATGATGATATTAACATAATTTCATTATGAAATCATAATGATATTAAAATGAATTAATAATTAAATGATGATCATATCTTTATAAAATCATAATGATATTGTTAGTCTTTTTAAATCGTGATATAAAATTATTCAGTCATGACTATATACAGGAAATATTGCAAAATAATTAAATTAATGAAATTTTTAGGAGGATTTAAATTGTTTTCAAAATAAGAAAATAATTATCTTGAGACGAAAAAATCTTCTCAGTCAAAAATTTTTTTTAAACCAAGATGGTCAGTGTTTTTCTAAATATTTTTCTAAGTTAAGAAAGACGAGGAGAAAAGTTAAGTAGTTCAACAGTATAGTGCATGATAAAAATACTGTTTTTCTCAATTATTCTACATTTCCTCTATTAGCAGAAAAAATGAAAATTTTACTGATCTACTTAAAAAAATTCGTTCCCACAGGTATTTTACTTATTACGGGTTTCTAAAGTATTGATATGACTCTTATATGAATCTCATATCAGTGCCAAAATATGAGATTCATTATGAACCTCATAATGATATATCATTTTTACACGGGCCATACGTCAATTTTTTCAATGTTTCACAATTTTGAGTGAGGTTAGTTTCAATTTTATCAATTTCACTAAATGGTACTTCGCGTGATAAGGTGTGCATAAATCAAAGCTTAAAATTTAAGCCCACTACCATTTATATTTTACCTTAAGAATCAATGGATATAATTTTCATGATTAATAATATCATAAAAGTACAAATTATTATCATAATTATTGAGCTAGTGTAACTCTCTGTTGATTCAGCTCTGAAGCAACGGAAGTGTTATCAGCCGCTGGAGCGTGACTCTGATTATGGTGATAAGAGCCACTGGATGATGAATTCGGATAACCTTCTTTCTCAACTTTCTCCATAGCTTCTTGCATAGTCAAATTATAGATGAAAGTCTGAACAATTCCATTGTTGTCAATGGTGATGAACAAGTGTCCGAATCCAGGTTGATTGAGATTCTGGGTGGTGACAATCGCCGCGATTTCATGATCTGCAATCCGCTGCAATTGATGGTCCGATAGCGTGTGTGAAAACCTATTGATGCCAATGAGTTGGTGGAGGGTTGTCGACGGTACCTCACCAGATTTTAATTTTTGGCTCAAGTTCAGCAAATCTTCGGATGTCAAAATCGTTTTTGTGCCATCCTTGGTTATTGATTGAATGTAAGGTAAGTATAGGCGCTTGTAGGATCCATCGGATTCGACTCGGCTATCAGCAGGTGCTGAAGCAACCTGTCATTAACAAATAAATGAGTTATTTAGAATCGACGCAATATTATGATTTAAAAGTTATTTAAATAAAAAAAAAAAAATTCTTTTTAAGTCAAAAAAATTATCTTCGATAAGATTTCTAAAGATTCTATTAATAAAATTATCAATCCGCAAGCAAATAAAAATCCTTGAGAGATAAGCTTTTTTTTAAAAACAAGTTAAATATTTATTATTATAATGGGTTTGTTATTATTATTGCAGAGCAAAAAAGTTTCCATCATTGCGTAAAAAATTTGTTTTATAACAATATGTTTTATAAAAATATTATTTTTGTGTCAATTTGAGCTCTTCGAGCTCAAAACTCTAATAGCAGTTTAAAGACACAATTTTTTGAATTTTCAAACGGCAATAACTTTTGAATGAATGAACCGATTTTCACGCGGTTGGCGGCAATCGACGCAGTTTTTGAAGCTCCATGGAAAATTTTCAAGTTTAAATCGATCGAGCCATGAATTTCAAAGTTATTACAAAAAAACACTTTTTTCGATTTTTTTCGACAACGATATCTCACGAACGCATCAACCGATTCTAACGTTTTTGCTGGCGATCGATGGGGGTTTTCATGGTTAAGAGCTGATTAGTTTTTGAGACATATCGGTTCAGTCAATTCAGAGATATTTAAAAAAAATAAAAAAAAACAACTTTTTTTTCACTTTTTTTGCATTTTCACAAAATCTACCGGTCCGAATCGGTTCAAATTTTCAGAAAATCTAAGTTTAGTGAAGCCCTTTCAAATGACACCAACGGCGATGAAATCGGTCAAGTCGTTCAAAAGTTACAAGAGGTTTACACACACACACACACACACACACACACACACACACACACACACACACACACATACATACAGACGTACGGACATCATCGTAAAAATAGTCAGGGAAGTTTCCTGTGACCTTCAAACGTCGAGATCTGATGAAAACTCGATTTTTGTAAAACGGGGTGAAAACAATAACTTCCCGATTTTTGAAAATCTGAGATTTTTAGCGGGAAGTTAAAAATTTATAATGAATAACAAAAATAACAAATGATTTAAATTTTTGTACCTGATAAATGGCAAGCGTAAAAATAATTGCAAATGTTGGCATGAACATAATGACTATGGGTTATCTTAAAGACTCAAAAGTTTCGATCACTATGATATGCAAAATCAAACTAACGTTGCTAGTGCAGTATATTCCGTATTTATATTTGTCTGACAAATGATGATATCATTGTTGATTAATCAAAACGGTGATTCTATTTCAGAGTATATCAATCCATGCTAGGGGAAAAACAAGTTTTGTTTATAAATACTGTATGAGGAAAAGATGCACAAGGAAAATTTAAGCTATACTTAGAAGTGATATGAGTAAACTGCGAGGTTTACTAATAAGACGAAAAAATTATGTATAGTAAATAATAGTCACTCAGCATGTGAAGTCGATAACCCCATGGTTCATCTGCAGATGAAAAATATTTTGTATAATATTCAAGCAGAAAAGAAATTCTATTTAAGTAAAATTCATATACACTGGAAATATTAAAAGAAAAATTGGTTGTCTGTAAAGGCGGTTTACGGACGATAAGTTTTACGTGATAACGTCATAAAGAAACATTGATGAAAAATTGCATAATTTTATAAATTGAATTGAATTATTATCACTGAAATATCATTTTAAAATTTTAAATATGTATTTAAAAATTATTTTAACATAGAGTAAGTACTTTAATACTATTAATACATTGATAATTGAAAATTGATATAATAATTTGATAATTGATGTAATTATTATTATTTATAAATAATTAATATTAATTATTTTATTATTACTTTATTAATTTATCGTTTATAGTTATTATTAATTTATTTATTGATAATTAATATTATCAATAATAATAATTTGATATAATTTGACATAAATATTTTTAAAACTGGTTAAAAACATTAATTTTCAAATATTATTTACAGTTTTTGCAAATTTAATTTAAGTAATTTGTTTAAATATTCACGATCAATTAGATATAGAACAATATTCGAACTGCTAGCTCTGACGTCACGCGAGAAGAGAAATATATGTATCACAAGTCAACGCTTAGGCCTCTCTATCGTTTGTTTGATCGTGCCTCTCTATCGCTTGTTGCGCGCTCTCGCTTGCACGCACTGGCTCAGGCGGAACGCGACATTTTTTCATGTATGTTGCTGGTGTTCATCAATTTATGAGGCGTTATATATATCACGTCAAAAAAAAAATGTGTGTGCTGATTAAAGCGCGATTTGTGACATACAATTTTGGAATAATTATTTTTTTTTTTTTTCAAATAACTTTTGAACTACTTAATCAATTGATTGAAAAATTTCATTAGCTTTTAAGGTAGTTCACTCGGGACATATAGTTTGTGCTATTTCTTTCCTTTTCACTCGCTAGTGCTGCCGTTCTCACGAGTTATCTCTTATTCGCTTTTACAAATGGTTACTTTTGTTTAACTAACCAGTTTATTAACAATTTATAAAAAACTACATGGTATAAATTTCTTTGAATTATTACCTTCCCGCTAAAAAAATTGAAAATTTTCAAAAATCGGGAAATCATTGGTTTTACCCAGTTTTGCAAAAATCGAGTTTTCATCAGATCTCGGCGTTTTAAGGTCACAGGAAACTTCCCTGACTATTCCCGCGATGGTGTCCGTGCGGCTGTATGTGTGTGTGTATGTGTGTATGTGTGTGTGTGTGTGTGTGTGTGTGTGTGTAAACCTCTTATAACTTTTGAACGACTCGGCCGATCGAATCGAAATAGGTGGCGATCCAAAGAGTATCATTGCCATTAAATTTCGTGAAAATTTGAATCGATTCGGTTCTCTAGATTTTGAGAAATCTCAAAAATAAAATTTTCAAAAAATTGTTTTTTTGGAATAACTTCTAAACGACTCCACCGATCAACTCCAAAAACTAATCCGCTCTTAAGTTTAAAAAACCACGTCGATTGCCACCAGTCCCGTCAAAATCGGTTGATTCGTTCGAGAGTTATCGAAAACGAAAAATTTCGAAAAAAAGTGTTTTTTTCACATAACTTCGACATTTCTTTTTTAATCGTATTTGATGATATAAAATAATTATTAGAGCTCAAAAAACCACGTTGATCTCCACCAAGAACGTGAAAATCGGTTGATTGGTTCGTGAGTAATCATTGTCGGAAAAATTCGGAAAAAGTGAATTTTTCAAATTTCTCTAAGATTTTCGGTTCGATCAGTTTGTGTTCAAAATTATATCATAGAATTTGAAAAACTGCGTTGAAAACTGCCAATCACGTGAAAATCGATTCATTCATTCAGAAATTATTGCAGTTTGAAAATTCAAAAAATACTGTTTTATTAAACGCCTATCAGACTTTTGAGCTCGAAGAGCTCAAGCGATCAGAACAGCTAACTCTATGAGCTCGGAGAGCTCGAAATAACATATAAATTATATTTTTGAGCTACATGGAAAAAATAAATTGTTGAGCAATCATTTGAACCAATCAAAACTTCGTGACGTAAATAGTTTTTACGTTTCTACAGATATGAAAAAATATATGTTGGGAATTCCTTTAAAATTTATCAAGTCAACAATTTTAGCTCGTTTTTATTAAGTATATTTTTCGTTTGTTTATGAGTTCAATTCACTTTCCTAATATCGTTAACCTCATAATAATTAGTATCTAAAAAAATATATATAAATAAATTTTTTCGACATTGCCGAATCAACTAGCAATAAATAATGAAGCAATAGATAAATGATTGATAACAATAGTTTTTTATTAATTAAATTTTTTCGTTTATTGGAAAAAAATTCAATATAGGTGAACAACTATATGTAATGTAGACCGAAATTATTAAAAGTAGTTTAATGATTAAAATAATTTTAAATGCTATTGAACATTATGATAGAACCATTGAAATTTCCTAACTTAAAAATTATAATAGCAATGATCATGATCAATAATCATAAATCATAACGATGATAGCACCACCATGATGATAAAGATAACGATAATAGTGATGATAGTAACCACAATAATGATAAAGATGATGACTTTTTAACATAGCATAATTTCCATGATAATATTAATTATAATAGGAATAAATGCAATGATTATGACGACAACACTGATTGTAACGATCATGGTAATGAAAATCATCATCGTCAATATGATTATAATTAATTTTTCACCATGACGATGATATTCATGTTGACTGTCATTATGTCGACTATAAGTGCATAAATCGAAATAATGACACTCACGATATTGAAGAAGATGATGATGATGATGATGATGATCTTGGTGATAGAGATCATAATAATGATAAACATCATTATCATTACCATGATCATGTTTGTGAAGACGATAATATTCATGATAATTGTCATTAGTCATTATTAATGACTAATGACTAGGGCCAGGGACTTGGTAGGAAAGGGGTAACGCACGAGCATCAACTGTTTTACCCCTTTCCTACGAAGTCCCTGGTCATAGTCATTATGAAAACTGAAATGACGTCGATGATTTTGATGAATACGCTTTCGATGATGATCATGTCGAAGTTACTGCTGATAGAGAATATGATGATGATCAACAGCATTATAATCAACATGATCTACATTATCTTGATCATAATGACCACGTTGATGATAATAATGATGGAAATTATAATAATGATAAAAATTATTATTATCTTCATTACGATGATTATTCAGGCGAGGATATTCACGTTAATTTTCATTGTTAAGACTAAAATGACGTTAACGACAGTGATGACAATGCGAACAATAATGATGATGATAATGATATTAATGATGATGATGATGATGATGAGGATGATGATAATGATATTAATGATGATGATGAAGATGATGATAATGATATTAATGATGATGATGATAATGATATTAATGATGATGATGATAATGACGATGAAAATAATGATATTAATGATGATGATGATGATGATAATGATATTAATGATGATCATCATAATGATAATGATAATGATGATTATAATGATGAAGATCATCACTTTTAACATGATCAATGATTATTATGATTGTGAAGATTATGACGATCATTACGAATTTAATCTTAATTATAACACGATTGGAATATTTCTTCCCCTTCAAAGTGTTCAAGTTTTTTAAGAACTATTGAATTTTGATGAATTCATGTCGAAAAGTTACTACTAATCTCTATCAACAATCAATTTTAACTTTCAACCAGTGGAAAATAAACTGAAACTGTTTGTTTTGGCACAGGTGAAGCAAAAATCACTTTAATCGTTCCAAGCTTAGAATTCACAGATCTCACAGATCGTAATTATTTGAAAAGTTTCTAAAACAACCGAGTACACGAATAAACATACTGGTTTTAAACATTCTATTACTTGAACGTTTTGCAGCACACCACACAGAAACGCGATTGAGAGGTTATCGGAATCACTTAACAACTGGCTCACGACTTTGGCGCCTCGCCTCTCACGATAATTGCCCGTTTCTGGATCGGACGGTTGGTTCTATCTTAGCAAGCCAATCGGTTTCGAGGGCGTCCTAACCTTATAACTAAAACCTGCACAGATATACTTTAGATCTTCAATCTTTTGGCTCTATATCCACGTACATGTACTGTATATGTATAAATGTAGGACTTGTCACGAGGTGTGTATCATATAGCGGTATTCAATCCTAGAGGCTATTAAAAAAATTTTATTTAAATATAAAAAAGTTTATTGCAGCAATTGTTTCATATCGTTAAGTAACAATCTTTTAAATTTTTATTTATTTTATCATTAAAACCCTGGTTTAGTTATAACGTGTTACTTGTTCCATTTAAAGTTTATTTATTAGCAACTACTGTAATTTGTTTTATATCACGTTCACGTTTCTTTGATTGTTTTATTTCAATAATAGTTAGTTGCAATTTTTAAACATTTCCACTCAGTTGTTATTTCAATCAGCAATCATTATATGGTACTTATTTTACGTCATAAATCAGTCAGATAAGAACTTGATTGTTCAAAATTTTCCGAAAAAAAATTGTTGGATTTATTTATATATTACACGATGGATTCATGTATACATTTGTATAATTATATTGCACAACTCATGATGCGAAGCATCAGAGAGTGCTTTACGATCGAAAAATTTTTTTTACCTCGGTTTCGCAACTATTTAATTAATTACACGATTGGTAGTCCACGTAGTCTAA